GCTTTGTATCCTTTTGCTGTAATAAATCACGGCTGTGAATATGACTATATGCTGAATCCTGTACATCTTTCTTGTGAATCACCGCACCTGGGGTAGTTTGAGGACCCTAAACACAGATGGGAATAAGCCCGAAATGTTCAAAATACAGTAAGAAGGCAAGTGTGGCTGGACTCGTGAGTGAAGGGGACTGGCAGGAGATGAAGTCAGAGAGGTAGGAGGAACCTAATCATGCAAGGCCTTGCTAGTAAAGGTAAAGAGTCTGGATATTATTCTGAGAGTGACAGGAAGCCACTGAGGCTTCTGAACAGGAAAGAAGATCAGTCTAGCGGCTATGTAGAGAACTGACATAAGGGGGAAAGAGTGAAAGCAGGGAGAGCAGGGAGAACAGGGAGAACAGATAGGAAGCTCTTACATACCAGAGAGTCTTCAACTACCCTTGATAGGTAGATTTGGGTGAGGGGATAAGAAGGGCACTTCAAGCAGTGGGGATAACTTGTATAGAGACCCAGAGGCATAAACTTCATGGTATATTTGAAGAACTGTGAAGAGTTTAGTATTGCTGAAAGAGAATACTTGGGGGAAAGCTACAGAGATGAAGTTACCAAAGCCAGTCGGCACACCAGACACAGAGGCTTTGTAAGTCATGCTAAGCAGTGTGCACTTAACTCACAGGCAAATAAGGAGGTAACAAAGGGCTGTAAATAGGGGAGTTATAGGATAAATTTGGGTTTGAGGAAGATCAATCAGTCTGGAATTGACACGAAGGAGAAGGTGAAAAAGGGAGCAAGTCTAGAAGTAACTGCCAGATAACTCCAGTTCTAATGTAGTTGGGACTGCACGTGTACTAAGCCATGAGTATGTCATTTATGTTATATACTACATATGTATAAGTACATAGGCCTTTTCATGTTTTAGGAATAAATTAAAAACAAATGGAAATCAAAAGTAAGGAAACAAAGTAATCATTGAAAAACTAAAGCAAACTGAAACAAGAGTCTAAACATGTAGTTACTGGCATAACCACACAAAGAATTAAAGTGATTTAAAACATCATGTTGTTAATTATAAATCCCTAGTAAGATATATCCTAAGGACAAAAAAAAAATAAAAAGATAAATATTAAACTGTATTCAGTGGTCCTGTTGTAGTGGTAAGGTCGGCATTGCTACTTTGAAACTATATACACATATTATATATACATATATATCAGGATAAAGCAATATATGATTAATATAATTAAGTACCAAGGTTTTTAGCATTAGAAAAAGGAAACACAAACATAGAAGGAAAGAAGCAAAAACCCTGATGGGATGGAAAGGGATAGCAGTTGACCTGTAATCCATTCTCTCATTTTACGGTAAGAGAGAGAGAGAGAGAGATGACCTGACCAGATCACCTTATAAACATGCTAAAGAGAGATATACTGGCAAACACTTTAAAGATATTTACTAGTGGGAGAGTCCCTACATATGGAATGCTTTAGTAGGATGTACCTGGTCTGTCTAGATTGCTTACTGTACATAAACCTGTTACATATGGATTTATGGGGCACAGCTCCCTAGAAAACATCACATAAGCTATGCAATTATCAGGAGTCCCTGGATGGTGCAAATGGTTAAGCATATGGCTACTAACTGAAAGGGAGGTGGTTCGAATTCACTCAGAGGTGCCTCAGAATAAAGGTCTGCCAATTTATTTCCAAAAGATCACAGCCACTGAAAACCCTATGGAGTGCAGTTCTACAGTTCTACTCTGAAACACATAGGTCACCATGAGTTGGAATCAATGCGATGACAACTGCTTTGGTTTGGCTTTTGGAATGCAATTATCAGAGAATAGACTGAAGACATTTCATGATCAAAAGAGCTCCCTTTTGTGGAAGTCATGCTCCATATGCATCCCTTAGAGGGCTCCTATGTTAAAATCTGGACCAGAGCACATCCTAAGAAAGGACCTGAGAGCAGCTCTGGCAATTCTGGACTTCTCCATGCTCTGCCTGTGTCTCATGACAATTGTATGTTTAAAATTATCAGCCAAGTTTGATACGGGGTAAGACTCTTGTTAGTCCAATCTGCCAATCTGACCCTTTCTGTTATCTCACCTGTAATATTTAATATGAATTGGAAGTATCAGTACGAATCAATTATGTATTACCTAGCTCTGTCCACCAAAAAGCCCTAAAGTAATGGCAACTCAGTAGCAACACATATCCCTGGAAGCTGGCTGATAGTATCTAAATACAATTTCCCACTAATCAGAACCAGGGCCCCTTGGAGAAACGGCTAGGTTAGGAAATGTACGAGTTCAGGACATCTTGTCCTGCCTGAAAAGAAGGAAGTTATAAAAGACTACCAGGGTCTAGTCAAAAAGACAAAGGAATGAACTTGAAGGGATTCCCAATGACCAAAGGTGGGATAATCTGAGCATCAAAAAAGTTTGAAGCATATAAAAATCCAAGGGTTTGTAATGATGCTAAAAAACAAAGCGAAGACAAAACATAAACAAAAACATACTCATTAGTTGCCATATGAAGGTTGCTAGGGCACCAATTCATTATTTTGAAAAATGTTTCAAGGGAAAGACTCAAGCATTTATCTTGCCTTGTCTATATGTACTATATTTCAGGTAACCAAATAGTTGATGATTCAACAAAGGTCTTCTTTATAGAAGAATCCCAGGTAACAAATGCAGGAGGAACGAGAGAATTAGGAAGTCACTACTTTGCAGCTGCTAATGAAATAATGGATCCAGAAAACAAACATCAATTGTTGCCAAAACCTCTTGGTGAAAGGGTGATGAGGAAATTTATGATGGCTTGATCAGGCTGACACTATGTGAACTCGCTGATCAATCATTACATCACTAAAAGTGGGACAGACATTATCCACCTCCCAGTGTAACGCAACAGAAGTATACAAAACCACCTATGAAATACTCTCAATAAAAAACAGAACCAAGTCTATCCAAGCATCTAGCTTATAGCCTTCCAGTTTATGGAATATACAGCAGATACAGGAACAAGTTAAATAACATTATGAGGTTACAATCAGCTAGATCCCTAGTGTGGGAAAGTGTATAGCACAAAGGACACTATTTCTTTAACAAGCAGAATGATACTTAAAAACAAGGGAGACAGCACTGTTACAGATTAAGAAAAACATAAGATCTTAGTTTGGATCCTGATTCAAACAAACCAGTTGTAAAAAGACATTTTTGAAACAACTGGGAAAACTGAATGAAGTCTGGGTATTCGATGATAAATAATTGCTAATTTTGTGAGTGACATAATGATATTGCAGTTTTGTTGAAAAAAATTCTTACCCTTTAGAGATACATACACAGGCAAAATAATATCTGGAATTTTCTTTAAAATACTCCAGGAAAGAAAAAAGAAGAGTAAACGTGTATGGGGTGTTAAAGATGAAATCAGAACAGATGGTGACGGCTGTTAAAGCTGGGTTATGGATGGGTATAGGGGCCATCCTGCACTATACTTTTGTATGTTTGGAAATTTCCTTAATAAAAAATAAAAAATAATGAATTAAATTACAATATTTGGCTAACATTTTAAACGGTAATACACACTTAGCTGAGGTATGGGGGAAACGGGTAGTTTCAAAGGAAGTAAACACAATAACTTTTCTGAAGAACAATTTAGCAATATGTATCAAATGTCTTCAAAAGTTTTATATTCAATCCAGCAAATTTACTCTCAGGAGCTAATCCTAAAGAGATATTTAAAGATGTGCACAAAGATACATCTAAAACAATCTCCCAAAATAACACTGTAAACAATCTATTTAAGTTATGCTACATTTACATATAATTTTTGATAACCATTAACCATCACATTGTAAAAGAATACTAAATCACATGGAAAAATGTTAACGGTAAACTACTAAGTGAAAAAAACCAAAACCAAAACCAAATCAAACCAAACCCATTGCCGTCGAGTTGATTCTGACTCATAGCGACCCTACAGGACAGAGAATTGCTCTATAGGGTTTCCAAAGAGCGGCTGGTGGATTCAAACTGCTGACCTTTTGGTCAGCAGCTGAACTCTTAACCACTGTACCACTAAGGCTCCTAAGTAAAAAATGGAGGCATTAAAATAATATATGCATTTTGGCCCAATTTCATTTTCTTAAAAACTATTTATGTATCTAGAAAAAAGCCTGAGAGCTCGACATGATGTTAACAGCTGTTACTTTAAATTTATGGGATTAAGGTACTTTACTTTTTTTTGGGTTTTTCTATTTTTGAGTATGGTATATTTGTAATACAAAAAAATATTTTTTAAAGTTCAAATCTGGATCAATTCCTGAGTATGGCTAATAATGGAATGATAAGTGGGCATGATGGTGATCTTTGAAATAATAAACTAAATGACAGAAGGGTGGTAGGGCGGGGCAAAGTGGACATGTTAGTGATTAACTTAAACCAGGCTAGGTCTTCAGCACAGTCCATTGTGAGAAAGATTAAGTTACAAATTTCAAAGTAGAAGAGGTGAAAGTTAGAAGAGGATTAAAGTTTATGTAAGTTTCAACTGGAGATGGATAAACACCTAAATCAAATAACCTGGGTGACTGAAAAGGTTACTGCAGTAGAAATCCTAACATAATTCTGCAGATAGCAGCACATTAGATAATCCTTCCTATTTAATTTCTATTTTGTTTACGACCTTGATTTTATTTTAAATTTCTTAGAGAGAAATTTATTTACATACTAGAGTCTAAAAAGAAAAGTTATGATATTACTATAATACACATGCATTTGTGTCTCTATGAATTCAGTTTATATAACTCAGATCATAAAGAGTAAATCTGTTAACAATTTTGATACATAAAAATTTAGAAAATCCTGTAAAACTGCACTTTCTATATATCCTATGTGGTTAATAAACAGTAAAACCAGCCTTCTTCATGCTTTCTGCAAGAGTTTTAAAATTTCAGTTGTTTTTTTCCTAAATCAGGCAAAGGCAAAGAAAACATCCAAGCTACCTGGTTTCTGTAGTTTCTTTGGTTCTTCATAGTCCTTGTCTTCTGGATCTGGAGAGTCTAGAAAGCTGATTTCTTCTGTGACACTTTCCCCCTCTCGACCCTCAAGGCTGTTCTCCTCTTCCTGAATAGGGACTTTCAATTCTGATTCTTCTGACTCAAGAAATATCTGACCAGCGACTACTTTGCCTGCTGTGGTGTGGTCCTTTACCGACTTATCTGACAGTGAAGAAGTCTGGAAATATAGAGTATTTTTAGATATCGACAGTACCAAGATTCATTAGACAGGAAAAATGTTACTGTCTGAAGGCTCTTTAACACACACACACACACAAATACACTGCACATTCAAATTGTGATTAAACCTAATGGCCATTACCCTTAAGGGAAATACTATTCCTCCTTTACTATTCTTCAGGCTCTAAGATTATAAGAACCTGTGAAAATCAGAAATAAATTTCTCTCTTGTAGATCAGAAATTTTTTTCCTCTAAGAAGAGCTAAAACTAATATTGATACCATCTATCTTTTTATTTTCCTTTAATTTCAATTAGTTACTCAAATGATACATATTTTGCATCTTTCTAAGATACATAACCAATGCTTTAAATTGGGCAGAAAATACTGGCCACTGTGAATTTTAGTACATACCTTGGACTCTAAGGATTCATCCTGGCTGTCTTCTTCATCTGTAAAGAAATTTTAAGACAATTCAGTTATATTTTTGTGATGGGAAAGTATAGCTATCATTTTTAAAGGAAAACATTATAATCAGAGATTGAATAAATAAAACCTAGACTTATGTAAAAATTGTTGTATTCAATGACTGTTCAGAAAAGATTAAGTGAAAAAAGTGGGGAGAGGGTTAAGTTTTTCTCTTTCTCCAAGAAAAATAGCTTCATCTGTTATACAGACAGGAATACCACCTACTACCACCACAAAAAACAGACACTTCTTCAGATTCCACCAATTCTTCTATATACATTTAGTCTATTATTGAGAATGAGTTACTTAGTCATACAAATAAGTCTCTGATTTTGGGGTTCAGGTTTCCACCTATTCCGTTCTTCTGCTAAAGATCTGGAGCTACATTAGCCTATTTTAGTGATCAGCATTTTATCATTCACTAAGACTACTAAAGATGAAAACTAAGAGTTATTTTGACAGCAGAGTTGCCAGATAAAGATATTTAGGATTTCTGTTCTACTTTACTGAAGAGAGAATCAGATGCAGGTAAAAAAATAGCACTATACTATCATGAATTGAGTCACGTGAAGTCTATGTATTAACAAATCAATAGTAAAAAATAAAAAAAAAAGAGAAGTAGTCAACTAGTTGTACCTTTCTTCCAAATTCAAAAAATTGTTTTTTGTCCAATTCCATTAGTTTTCCTTCTATTATTCTTTGTGTTTTCCTACTACTACTACTATTCTGGCTGCTTGTTATTCTTTTTTCCTGCTCTTATATGAACATATTCAACAACCCAATGTCCATGTTCAAATGTTTGATCTCTGTATTCTTTGCCAGTTTAAAAAAAAGAAAAGAAAAAACAAACTGACAGATGATCTCTAAGTTTACTTCTTGTACTTAAAGTTACCCAATTCTATCCAGAAGTGACTTTTGGTATTGCTTCCTCCATAAACTATATCAAAAGTTAATCAGCAGACCAAATGCTATAAGACCATGTGTTTTTTTTTTTACTAGAAAATCTGGTATTACGGTTGCCATTTATCTTTGCCTCATATGTTTATAGCCTAAATATTATTCATAATGTGTAACTTTTGCTAAAGTATAACAGAATCATGTTTTGGAGTTGGTATTATCAAAGTACTAAGCTTGCTTTAAGAACCAATTAATTGCGTACAAAATACACACTCATGCTTCACAGGGTCTGTTTTGTTTGAATATCTGAGAACAGCAGTCTATGAGTGAGGCTTTTGCTATATATGGAAATGCTGTCAATTCAAAGAAAATTTAAATTATAGCTACTATTCACATTCGCTACTTTTAGATTATCTTCAAAGGATGTTTTATTTTTGGCAGGTGGGGAAGGAAAGAGCCTGGTACGTATCTTGTCCCACAGTGTCCACAACATTGAAGTAGCAAAGTTAATTAATTACCAATCATCCTTCACACTAATTTCTTCGTAAGTATTCTAAGTTCTAACATATGTTTCAAATCAAAGCAGAACATTAAATAAAAGAAAAAAAACATTCCAGTCTCAGCAAGTCTTTAGATAAAGAAAAAAATTCTTCATCTCTATTATATATCAAAGTTGTATATGTGAATATATTTCATTAATCACAAATATTAACTACTTAAATCTACCAACAGCAGAAATTAAATGTACAGGTATACATGATATGTCCCAAAATAGTGAAACTACAGGTGGAAATCTGAAATCACTAATACTATTATCATTAAATTTAATACCTCATAACAACAGATTACACAGGTAGTGAATAGGTAAATAATATAGATATGTATAAATAAATCTAAAGACATGTAAGTTTGAGACACTACAAGTTGTCAGACATTAGAATAGCAAAACGTGTGTTTGAACTCTTAAGAGACATGGGAACTTGTGACATCAGGGTTATTTCACATGAATTGCATCATGCTTTTCTCTCTTTCACTCCCTCTTTCTTCACAAACTAGAAATATATACTAAGATTACTGGTAAATAAGAGAATTCTTTCTCACTTACTAAACCTGGAAAGCCTGTTCCAGATGGTATTCCTACACCATAAGATATTTTTCTCTTTCAAACTGATATATCCATTTACATAACACTTTCAAAGAAGCTGCTTATAACCTAAGAACTTCTGATATTGCAACAATCAGGTAAGAATTAAACACGCTGAAGTTCTGTATAAATAAAAAACAAATGGTAGTGCTTTTATCAGAACACAGATGTCAAACAACAAGAAAAATGAAAAAGGATTCAACAAAGAGCTATGGACTTTACTCAACACTCTTACATCCAAAATGTAATGGTTTAGGTTATGTTACATCTCCCTATGAATAAGATCAGTTTTTATTTTTATTATACCAGATAACAAAGCTGCATAGTACCAGGAATATATACTTAGGGAAAAGTGATCATTAAAAATTCATTTTCCCACTTGTCATGTAAATGAAACAGACTGATACACCTACAAACACAGAAAGTCTAAAGAGTTTGGTGTAAAGAGGGAAAGAGACAAGACATCCTGTCTTCTGCTTTCCATTGATTCTGTCCAGATCGTAGGATAACCCAAAAACCAAACCCATTGTCGAGTCGATTCTGACTCATAGCGATCCTACAGGACGGAGTAGAATTGCCCCATAGGGTTTCCAAGGAGCGGCTGGTGGATTTGAACTCCCAACCTTTTGGTTCGCAGCTGAGTTCTTAAACACTGCACTACTCCGATACTCCTGATTTTTAATTACCCTGAATCTGAGGCTTAGGGAGCTAGGTTTGAGACCTGGATTCATTACATATTCATTTTGACACACATAATTTGACACTGTAAGCTTGCTCAGTCTCCATTTTCCCAATCTGTCAAAAGGGGACAAGTCATCTGTCCTGCTGACTCACAGTAATATTTGATGAAACAAAACAATGAAATTAAACATCCTCTGCAATCTGAAAGCTACTCTGTAAGTTTATGGTATTAATATAACTATTAATTATAATAGATAATCTAATTAAAAAGACTCTGTAATACTGAGTGGCACAAAGAAAAAGAAAAGGCATTTGCCTCTTCCCACCAAAAATACAAATACTTCTAAGCAAAAAACAAAAAAACAGCAGTTTTCACTATTATCTTGAGAAAAAGAGAAACATCTGTTTAATCTCCTTTAAAATTAATTCATTCACAGAAAAAAGAAAACATTTCTAATAAAAGTATCATATTTTTACATGCTTCTGAAACAAGATAGTCAATAATCAGGTACTAACAGTGAAGGGATCAAGATCCCGTTTGTTGGCTTACCATATTCTACTTGATAATAAATGCTACTTGCCCAGGGTAACCACTAACATTCAAACTTTAAGGCAACACAAAACTACCACTAAAAACTTGGTTTTCATATAGGAACAAATCTTTAAATCTAGACTTTAGAAATGAGGCCAACTCAAAATCCATGTACTCAATTTACAAAACTTTATTGCACTCTGTTTTACGATATTTGAAACAGTACAGTGAGCACCAAAAAAACAAACAAACCACCTGCTGATACCAAGTCAATTCAGATTCACAGTGACCTTACAGAACAGAGGAGAACTGCTCCATAGGGCTTCCAAGGAGCGGGTGGTAGATTTGAACTGCCAACCTTTTGGTTAGCAGCCACCAGGGCTCCACAGTGATCACAGTACTGCCTTCATTCGCTTTCAGCGTGGACATCTATGTTGCCTTAGTTCTGACTAAGTAAGGTTTTTGCCTCTACCAAATAAATATTTTGGCATAGTTTTAACTATGATGGAAACCAGAGCAGATATTTCTTGAATATAATTCTCTGCTTACATTACTACAACCCAAAGATTTAACACTGAAGTATCAACAGTCTTCTAACTGTCCAAGAGTAAACCTTATTATAACATCCTGAGAATCTCAATTGTTGACTAAATAGCTTCTTTAAGTATCATCTTCACTGAGAGAGATCTAAGTATCTCATTTGTTAACTATTGGATTAATCGCATACCAGCCACTTATTATGCCTCTGGACCTCAGAGAACCCGCTGCCATCGAGTTGATTCCGACTCACAGCGACCCTATAGGACAGAGCAGAACTGCTCCATAGGGTTTCAAGAAGTAGCTGGTGGATTTGAACTGCCCGATCTTTTGGTTAGCAGTTGAGCTCTTAACCACTTCTCCACCAGGGTTCCTTGGACCTCAGAGGTAAGGCATTATCCAGTTATAATGCATTTAGCGTCAAAGCAGGTCCCTTTTGAAATGCGTGAAGCTCAGCAGACAAGAGTTGGAGCCTCACTGTTGTGCAGGTTGAGCATTCTATTAGGAGATGCTTTCTTGATGTGTTAGTTTTGTAAACTTGCCTTTTTCTCCCTTTATTTCTGTGAGATAAAGCTTGCAAGCATAATTATGGCTTTTCTGGGTGACAGGAAGCCCTGATGGGTTTGTTTTGGTTTTCCTGTGTCATATTTGGAGGTTCTCCATGTAACCTAATGGAAAGGCACCCACAATAAATTACTTATCTAGCTCTCAATGCTACACTGTCATACCATGGATGGGTGGTGCCACAGCACCATCTGCCTTATTGGTGGCTTGCATTACCAGATCACATTTCTCAAAATCCATATCACCAACCAAAAATTTAAACACACTTAATTAGTAAGCATGCATTCCAATACTGAAAACAGATGCCATAAAAAAAATTAAGGAGAAAAAAATGTAGTAATGAAAGGGACATAAGAAACACAGTCAAAGGAAGACACAGGAAAATGTATGCTTTAACTTTTTTTTAAACTCTGCAAACTGAAGTCAGAGGAATATACACCATACTCTTTAACTATTTCTCAAACTTTAGTGTGAAAAATCACTGTGAAGCCTGTTAAACTGCACATACCGAGACCAGTTCCTGACCTAAACATATTTTAAGTAAACACACCAGAGGGATTCTAATGCAGGCAGTCCATGGTCCATCAAGTACCCTACCCATTAAACTCAACAGCTTTATTTCATCTTTCATTTGATCAAACAACTGCTAAAGTTAGGTATATTATTTACAGACTTGGTCATGAATGCAAACCATCACTACAAATGGGGGTGGAAACGGACCTCAAAGCATGATGCTGGCAGTAAAGTAACTAACATATGCTTGTTGCTTTTCAAATGGTATCTCAAATCACAATATGAATAGGATTTTAGGTTAGAATCTCTTATTTTAGAAGCAGAATGGCTTTATGGTATTGACTTGCAACTAGGACAGATAATTTGGGGATTCAAAGAACCATCTGGGAACTCTTCTGTTGAAAAAAACGTTCACTTATTTATACCCTGCCTTGTTCCAAAAAAGATTTAAAGCTGCAAGACAGCTGTCTTCTTAACTGAAACGAATTAAAATTCCACAACTTTATTGCACTAATTGTTACTAATTGTTTATTAACACTCTGAAAAGAGAAGCTTTCAAAGGTTGGCAAATTAAAACATTAAAAAAATCATTTTCAGAACCACAGTATAAACTAGCTAACTGGAAAACTCTATTCATAAGTATATGAGCTTATCTATATAAAAAATTAAAATTATTTATTCTAAGCTTATAGGGACCACGATTTTTTTAAAAATCATAAAGTCACCGTAAACAAACATGCGGCAATTCAGAAACACTGTGCTAGAGGTAAACATCACTTTTTCTGGAAGATTTTTAAAAAAGGAAAAAGGCGTGGATACGATTACTGCGTCAAACGTCTTCATTTTTAAACAGATAGACCTGTGGCCATCTAAGCAAACCCATCAAACCACTGTCAACATCCTACTCTTGATGGTCCCTGTTCTGCCCAAAGTGACAGCCCCAAGTGTGCCAATTACCTCACCTACAAATCCCAAATCCAGAGCTCCTGACTCGATGCAGCACATAATCTACGTGAGGAGGGTCAAGGTGTCAAGGAAGCTCCAGCAGGGCTTGTGTTGTCACTGGGGCTAAGCCAGCTGTCAGAAGTCATTTTCCTGGGGTCACACATTTCTCATTCGTGAGAAGGAGCCACGTAAAGTTACGTGCAGAAGCACTGTGGGTAAGTTGACAAACTGCCCCTTCCAGGCCCCTAAACATCCTCTCTGGCCCAGACCAAACGAAGCTCGAAGAAGCAGCGAGTGACAGGCCAGTGCAAGGTGTGACCAGAAAGAGCAGAGTCCCAGCCCGAAGCTCCCACCACCAGGGACAGAGGCCGGGGGGGCGGTGGCTCCGGGCCTCCGGCCCGAAGGGGCGGATACTGACCCGAGGACGCCGAAGCCAAACCCAGCAGCGCCGCAGAAAGTAGCAGCGTCAGCGTGACCCAGACTCGCATCCTGCTCTCGGGGCCGCTGCCACCCCCTGGAGCTGTCGCCTTCGCCTCTGCCACTACCGCCTCAGCCGCCGCCACCGCCGCCTCGCCAGTGCTCTTCCTGCTCCGGCCTTTTTCCTCCGCCCCTTCCCAGGCCTCCCTGCCCCAGCGCGCAGCCAATCTCCGCCGGCCGCCGCGGACTTCCCACCCAATCGCCGCGGCCGCCCCGCCCGCTCCATAGGCCTCGACCTCCGGAGTCACCCATTGACCAATCGTTGTGTAAGGCTCACCACACCGGCTTTCCTGGTTGGACCACGGCCTCAGCGACATGGCCCCAGCTAATTGGTAGCTCCTGGGCTCCACTATCCCGGAATCAGAGCGTGAGTCAAAGACGGGGAGAAAGTCACTCAGGACTACGACTCCCACAATGCAATTCATGTGCCTTCATCGGCGTGTGTTCTTGGGAAACGTAGTCCATTATGGGGCAAGATTTACAGGTGCAGGTGGCTGTTGAAGCTAAGGGAACTTAACAGCTGGCCTAGATATTAATGCAAGGTCATGAACCCTTCGGCTTTTTTTTTTTTTTTTCCTGAACCAAAATAAATATCAGGAAGTAAACTTTATAAGGTTAAGAGCTTGTAATGTGTTAAGCTCCTCTTCCTATTTGTTTTATTTAGAAAACTGGAACCTACATAGTAATATGAGCACTGAGGAGAAATGCAAGGGCTAGATTGAATTCGAGGGAAAAATTTTTTTTTTTTAAATCTCAGATAAAACACTACCAGTATATGGGAACCAAGGTGTAACTCACTACCGGCCCTCCTTCCCCAGCAAAGCAGTATGAAATAAATTCCCACTCAGTGCAGATCATCTCAGTGCTAGTATTCATTTTTATCAGCGACACCAGATAATAATCTTCTGGAAAATGTGCCAACAGCCCTTGCAACAGCCTTTCAAACACTTGTCCTTATTCCTCTCTTCTCGAGAGTTGCATTGTTCTCATCTGCATTGACTAGATTCGGTAGGCTAGATTGATGTGTGCTGAGAGAGAGGTAATAGTGACTGCATTGCAGAAACGGAATTATTCTGTGTACTAAATCCTGACTCCAGGCATTCTCCCACTGGTTAGCAGGCAGTGGCTTGTTTCTGTCCATGCATCAGGATTGTGTCATTCCTCTCTCCCTAACATCCACCCACAGTCTGCTCTTTGTCCTGATACCTGGCTGGGCCAAGTTCAAGGTTTTGAAAAAGTTGACAATGGCTATATACCTTGACACTTCTGGGCATTTGTCTTCCATCTTCTTTAAGAAAGAGTTCCTTTCCAAAAAGAGGATTAAAAAACAACTGCTGTACCTCATTCATATCAGAGGGAAGAAGGAAGGATGATGTCCCCATGAAAAAGATTATTTTTTTCTACTACAACCTCGTTAGTGCTCATCTCTATTTTTTTTAATAGTAGTGTTTCCTCAGAGTTCCTCCAATTTTAAAACTTTGAGTAAAATCTTCTGTATTTTCCTCCCTTTTTTATCTTCTCAGTCATTGAGTCCTAGGAATCTGAACTGTGTAATTACTCCTTTATGGGATCTTTTTTCTTGTTCTCATGGAAACCTCGCCTAATGGCCCTCATTTTCCCTTACCTGGCAAATGCATCTGAGTTCTAGTCATATTCGCCGAACTTATTCTCGTTCCACTCTAACCTAAATCACACACCACTGGTAGGTTTATATTCCTTAAACTCTGCTTTCATATCCTCATTCAAAATTGGGTTTTTGGTTTTATAAGCAACATCATGATTATCATGGATTGAACTGTGTCCCCCCAAAATATGTGACAACTTTGTTAGGCTATGATTCCCAGTATTGTGTAGTTGTCCTACATGTTGTGATTGAGATAATTTTCCTACGTATTGTAAATCCTAATCTCCGCTGGTGGTTAATGAGTCAAGATTAGATTATGTTAAAGAGGATTAGGGTGAGATGTAACACCCTTACTCAGGTCACATCCCTGATCCAGTGTAAAGGGAGTTTCCTTGGGGGGTGGCCTGCACTATCTTTTATCTTACAAGAGTTAAAAGGAAAGGGAAGCAAACAGAGAGGGCGACCTCATACCACCAAGAAAGCAGCGCTGGAAGGAGAGCACATACTTTGGACCCGGGCTTCCTGCAAGAGAAGCTCCTAGTCCAGGGGAAGATTGATGAGAAGGACATTCCTCCAGAGCTGACAGAGACAGAAAGTCTTCCCCTGGAGCTGACGCCCTGAATTTGGACTTCCAGCCTACTAGACAGTGAGGAAATAAATTTCTCTTTGTTAAAGCCATCCACTTGTGATATTTCTGTTATAGCAGCACTAGATAACTAAGACAATGATAAACAGAGAAAATAATGATTTCCTTTTACTTTGGTCCACAATCAATGCTCACGGAAGCAGCAGTCAAGAAATCAAATAACATATTGCATTGGGCAAATCTGCTGCAAAAGACCTCTTTAAAGTGTTAAAAAGCAAAGATGTCACTTTAAGGACTAACGCGCATCTGGCCCAAGCCATGGTATTTTTCAATCTTCTCATATGCAGGCAAAAGCTGGACAATGAATAAACAGACTGAAGAAGAATTGATGCCTTGAATTATGGCGTTAGCAAAGAATATTGAACATACCATGGACTTCCAGAAAGACAAACAAATCTGTCATGGAAGCAGTACAGCCATAATGCTCCTTAGAATTGAGGACAGCAAGACTTTGTCTTACATACTTTGGACATGTTATGAGGAGGGACAGGTCCCTGGAGAAGGATATCATGCTTGGTAAAGTAGAGCGTCAATGAAAAAGAGGAAGACCCTCAATGAGATGGATCGACAGAGTGGCTGCAACAATGGACTCAAACATAGCAACAATTGTGAGGATGGCACAGGACCGGGCAGTGTTTCGTTCTGCTGTACATAGGGTAGCTATGAGTCAGAATTGACCTGAAGGCACCTAACAACAATAACAAAAATGTTCACAGGACATTGACTTCCTGGAGTAAGTCCACATTTCCAAAACAGGTTCCAAACATAGTGTGGGAAAACCGGACTTATTTTATGATTGGACTACACTGCATGAGGATTAATTAGAAAAAAAGTCATGAATTCTCTACAGTCTTATCCAGTCTGAGCATACACTCCTCAAGGCTTCCTGCCACATTCCCAGTTAAAGTTATGTACTCACTTCACTTATACAAAATGTTAACATTATTTATTAATTCGTGGGATTCTTTATTATTTGTTTAGCTGACCATAATCTGTTCATATCTGTTCATATCAGGGTCATTGTCATATATTTCCAAGTTACAGAAAACCTGTTTGCTCTGCATTACAACATACCATAGGACTCAACAGAGGTAGATAGCAAATGCTTTTTTATTCAGATAAAATTGATGTGACCTCATTCCATCACAATGAATCAAATTATCAGCAAATACTGAGAACTTCCTGAAAGTGTAGAGGACATAAACCCAACTAGCTTTCTCCTTATGGGTGGTCCAACAGCTCGCAGGGCCAGGGCCTTTTCCTGAGAATGGAGTTACTGCCACTGCCTCCTAATTGAGTGTGTCCTTTCTCTGTGCTATTCTTAGGGATCTGTTTGACTTGGCAGTGTGCTCAGGCTGCCAGCACTTGCATCAAGTTTTCTGCCAGTTCAGAACTAGGGAGAGGCAAGGAGCAGGATGTTTTCCCCTTGTTATTGTTAGTTGCGGTCAAGTGGATTCTGACTCATGGCGATCCCATGTGTACAGTGTAGAGCTGCTCCACAGGGTTTTCAAGGCTGTAAACTTTCAGAAGCAGTTCACCAGGCCTGTCTTACTAGGCACCTCTGGGTGGGTTCGAACTGCCAGTCTTTTAGCTGGAAGTCAAGTGTTTAATCTTTTGTGTTCACTGGAGATTCCTTCCTTGATATCCAAAACCCATTGCCATTGAGTCAATTCTGACTCATAGTGACCCCATGGGACAGAGTAGAACTGCCCCCTAGGGTTTCCGAGGAGTGGCTGGTGGATTCAAACTATCAACCTTTTGGTTACCAGCCAAACTCTTAACCAGTCCGCCACCAGAGCTCCTTCCTTAATATAGATGATGTGAATTAAAAGTCATTATTCTTGTAGCTTTTTTTTTAAATACTTGAAAATATCGATCTTTGAACTGTATAGTGAGATAGAACATGGCACCTCCTTGTATAGATTCTAGGGTCTTTTTGTAAGTGGACAATGACTTTATAGTTCATTGGATCACCCATAACTCCTGGACAGTGTAAGGCAGGTATGCAATAAATAATCAACATAAAAAAAGTTTTTCATGTGTTCATGTCACTTTCTCTGATTATAATCAAGTGTCAGAAAGGTGAGAGTGTAGATCACAGATTGCGGGATAATGTATTTGATAAACCTGAACTTTGAAGCTGATAGAATGTGTAGGGGTGCTCAGACTCTGTTTACCAAGTTTCATCCTGAAGTGACATTTACTTTGGAGATATGTATTCTTTCTGAGCAGGGTTGACTCATAAAAGATAAAGAAAAAGCCAGGATACCTTTATACCCTGAATAACTAGACAGACGTCTTTTAGCCTAATTCTTTCATTGATTTGTTATCCACCAGTTCTGGAGACAGAGTAGATTAAAACGAAATTTCAATAAGAACTTGATTAAGTGAACTTCATAAGGTGGAGACAAACAGCTTGACACTCCTATTAAATCCAGAACCCTTAACCCTTGAATAAATGGCAATCTATTTAATTAGTGATTAGAAACATTATATGCATAGGATAATCCTTCTTTCCTTCCTTCGTTTTTTAAGCACTGTCAATGTCCTCCCGCCAAATTCCACCAGAAACACACCTGTAGTTGAACAAATTGCGTTTATGACTCCTACAGTGACGAAGAAAACACACCATGCAAAAACATGGGTTATCTCCTTAAGAGGGTATTAAAAGAACCTATTTTAGGATCTGGGCTTTGGTTGAACTATTTGTGGCAGGGTGCAGGGAAGTGGGATTTGCTCTAGATTGGATGCTGTCACAAAATGAGTACCCTTGCTTTCTGTTATTAGATATCTCAATAAATCTTATCTTAAGGGAGGGGAGGCTATACGGTGAGGAT